CATGATGATGCAGTGGCCTTATCTGAGGTTGGCATTCTAAGCGGTTGTTCATATTTGACAGTAGACCATCATAGACTATACAGCATCCAGCAACTCCAAGGCCTAACTGAAGTGCCAAGTCAGCTCGCGGGTATCAGGAACTTCTTTTTTCTTTCTCAAATGAGTATAAACAGAGGTATAACTGGATAATACTTACATTGTAATAAGTTCACTTTGGTAGAAGTGATGTGAAAACTTCTAAAGGAATACAACATTAGTGGCAGGAAAGAACAGCTAAAGATTGTCACCTTAAACATAGGTAAGCCATGATATTAGCTTAGGGTTAGGGTTGTGGTGATGGGAATAGAGAGAATTGGAAAGTTTCAAGGGCTGGTAAGGGAGTGAGATTAACTGAACTTGTCAAAGGTTGGACATGTGAATGGTAGAGGTAAAACTAGATGACCTAGTTAGCTTTTAGGTTTCTAGATTAGGCTGTTGAAAGAGGGAAAAGAAAAGAAAGAATAAAGGAGGGCTGGGAGATATTGAGGGGTATTTTAATTTTTTTTAGGCAAATATTCAATTAAAGGTGCCTATTAGGCAATTAGATATATTGGCCTGGGCTTTAAGGGACAGAGATAAGTTAAAGATACATATTTGGGGTCATCAGAAAATAGATGCTATTTGAATGGGAACAAATGAGGATAATCTGGAGAAGAAAAACAAGGGAAGAACTATAGGGAATATCAATATTAAAGGAAAAATGAGATGGAACAAATGGCCAAAAATGTAAAAAAAGAAAAGGTAACCAGTATATAGGGGTATCCCATAAACCAAGAGAGAAAAAAAACTTCATGAATAATAAATAGGTGAATAGGGTCTAGTGCTGCAGAGAAGTTGAGCAAAATAAGGCACAATATTCATGTGTGTGTTTATAGGACAGGAGGGTTTTCCCAAAGATGAAGAAACAGACAGTCTAAAGGCTAATGATAAAGACCCAGAAAATAGAGACTAAGGATATGGATGTGTGACTGAATGGAAGCAGGTTCCTTAGGATACAGACAGTGAAGATATTGAGAAAACACACGCATGCACATACACGCATGCACGCATGCACGCACACACAAAAATTAGCCATAACTAGGCAAAGCACAGTCTCTTCCACCAAGGCAGAGGGAAAGAAAGAGACTATGAGCATAAATACACATAATCTGTGAGATAACATTTTACTTAAAGTAAGAGGGAAAGTCATCTACCATAAACAGTGGGTCAAAATTTAGGATACCCATAAACACTTGAAATAACTGTTGAGAGAAATTGAGGAGAAAATGTATTAATACTAAGGATGCATGGAAAGCTTCTCAAGACACACTGATGAATTTGTTCCTTTGAAGTGTGGTTCAGAAATGTCATCATGTCTGGCAATGAGACATCGTCAGTATAGTTATACAAGTGGATGGCTGAATTGAGGAGATTAGGAAAATGGAAGCTTTTGGAGATAGCAGGACAGTCCACATGAGCTGAGATTATTAAGGATGAAGGCACACCTTGGAGGGGGAAGACTGTGATCCCGCTGCCGAAGTCTTCAACGCGAAATTAATATGATAAAATGGTGAATGCTAGATGGCCACTAGGCATGAGACGCAAGGGAAGAGAGATTTTTAGAAAGAGAATGGTACCTTTGGAGTTGGCCCTGGGACATGAGAAAACTAGCAATTCTAAAGGAGTGGGTGTGTGAAAGAGTTATTAGTCTTCATCAAGTTCTCAAGGGTAAAAGTGGTTTTCTTGATGAACAACATGAGTACATGGGATAGAGGGTTTGCCTTGGAAGAAGTGGTTCAGAGTGCAGAGAGAGCGTGGGAAGGGACAAAGAGGAAGTGAGGCAGAGAAAAGAGTGCACAAGAGCACAGATGAAGATAAGAGAAAGGGCAGATCCGTAGAGGTACCTACCGTATTTCCCCATGTATAAGGCGCACTCTTTTTCGAAAAATTTGGGGTCTAAAAACTGGGTGCATCTTATATAGTGGTTGTATGAGCTCAAAAACAAGCACGAAAAAAGTGGGAAATGCAAGTTAAAAAAAAACTACAACCATTGTATAAGACGCATCCAGTTTTTAGACCCCAAATTTTTCGAAAAAGGGTGTGTCTTATACATGGGGAAATATGGTATATTCTGGGGGCGGGGGTGGGGGGGCAGACATAGGGAATACACATGCAGAATTCATTAGCCTGCAGATTTACAACAGAACTTGGTTCCAAGTTTATTTGGTGCGGGTGTGAATAAGCTGAGGTCCAAGAAAGAGCCAAGGCCTGCTGACCTGCACGGCTGGTAGGAAGCTTTTCAAGAGCACGCTGTATAGGTCGCAGGTTCTCAGACACCTTGTCATATCACCTTGTGGTCAAACAGCTGATTTTATTGTTTTAATTACCAACTTATATTACCCACAAGCTCAATTCATGAAGGTAAGTAGCTAGACCTGTTATTCAGCTAGAAATTCTGAACTGTGGTGATATTAACAGAACGAGTGAAGAAGCATCTAGTAGTCTGGGAAAGTTCCAGATTGTGTCTCATTTAATTCTCAACACTTTACAGACAAACGAATCACCTTGGGGTCTTGTTTAAGGTAGCTTCTGATTCATTAGATCAGGGATTCTACATTTCTAAAAAGCTCACAGATGCTGCCAATATTGGTTGTCTAGGGACCACACTCTGAGTAGAAATGTCCCCCAGAACTCAATTTTTCAGTCAGTACGTCATGTTAATTGTATGTATAAAGCACACGATTCATAGAGAAGAAAACATTATGTTAGGTTTAAAAGTATATAAAAATTGAACAGTTAATATCCTAGGTTTTTCTAACTGGCCGAAAGCATTGCAAGTAACAAATGGTGAAAGAATAAAGTGAATTTAAAAAACAAGAGAGAGAGAGAGAGGGCAATTTTTTGCCATTTTTTAATGGATGCCTAAAAATGAATCAATACCACTCAAATTCATAACCTGGGCCTCCCAAGTATTCAAAATAACCTACATAAACCGAGAGGTGAAGAAGAAAATTGATGTACTCTTATCCATCTTTATTATTATGTATTTCTCTCAAGGATTTTTAATACATATACATGATATTTAGCCTGAAGGAAATGTCTAGGTAAATCATTTCATATGTTATTTTAGTAGGCAATTAAGAATGATGTTGTTATTTTAGAAAATGAGAGTAGAAGTTGATAAAGGTGACTCACGAGGCATTAGAAAACCACTCATACAATATTGTACATTTTTTTCAGCACTTTAGTCTGTCATTGCTGACACTATTGATTAAATGTAAATTGATTCTAGGTAACCATAATGATAACAGGAAAATTTTAAATTTATATTCCTTAAATGCTGGAATTCAATTTTCCTGCTTGCTCAAAGCTGTTTTAAGATAACAGAAATTGGATGACAAACAGATAAGTAGATTATTCAGATGGATTAAGAAATTTTAAGTTAGCTAGTAAAATGTTTGCCCAAGGTGATTCACACTTTCACTGATCAAATGTCACATGAACCTTGAAAGGTATTTAGAGGACATCTTCTCTATGTGATTTTCCAGAGATTTCCCTCAAAAATCATAACAAAGATATATCTTCACATAGGTATACTTTGAAATAAGACATTCTGCTAATTTTCTACTATATATGATACACGTAGTCTTTGGTTCAATTTTAAAACTAAACTATTAACAATATAATCATAGTTCCATTTCTTGAAACTATTTATAAAAGTCTATTATGCTGATAATAGAATGCTGTATAAGCTAAAAAACTGAAAATAAATTTCCAATTTATAAATAGTTAACTTTGAGAAATGTTGATGAAATTACCTCTCATCCTCTAGCAGCCTAAAATAGATTATTTTCTCCTACAAGAGCGCTTGTTCTCCAAAAGTTTCAAACCCACAGCAAGTATTAACTTGCTTCTGAGGTAGTGTTGTATTTGTAAAAATACAATAGATTTTGTAATTCATGAAAAAGAATACTCAAAAGATAAGGCAGAGTTAATCCACACACATAATCTTCCTATAGCTAAAATTATGTGACATTCAGAATATTTTTTTCTTTAGGCTGATCACTGCAGAGTATTTACTCTGTTAGAAATTCTCTTATAAACTACAGGTATACCTCACAGATACTGCAACTTTCGCTCCAGACCACCACAATAAATTACTGCGAGCTGCAATTAAAGCGAGTCGCAATCTTTTTGCTGGTGGAGGAGGGTCTTGCCTTCAATTTGTAAAAAAAAAACGCATCTGTAAAGCACAACAAAGTGAAGTGCAATAAAATGAGGTGTGCCTATATCGCCAATGACATGCCAAAAATGGATGCTGTATAATTGTTGAAGTTGAAAAATCAAAGAACTGATAATGTTCCTAAAGATGAAGCAGCTCTTATTAAATGAATACAAATCTCTATTATGGAGGACAAAACTATAATGTCTCAGTAGGGAATAAAAACAGCAAAACATTTGTTATCATAAATAAATATTGAAAAATCCTGGACTTTTGTTATAATAATGCAACACATAAATATCTAGAGAATGCAAATCTGTTATAACTTATGGCAAATATTAATGACTATAAAGGATAACTTTTTGATGATAGTGAAAGCATAGACAAGAGTCCTGAGTATTCCTAAGGGTCTAACTATTCTACAAGCTTGCTAAGTCCCAGTCTTGAGATGACAGAACAATATATGAAGGGAAATCAATATAAGTTCATGTTAAAAAACTGTTAATTTACAGCAAAACAATATCAAAGTTAAAGAAAGTTTATGAAAAGCATTCCTGGTCAGTCACAGCAGAACCAGGAAAGATTCTACTAAGCTAAATTTTTATTCTGTTTGATATCTAAAATATATTTAAAGATATACTTAAAAGTATGATATCATATTGCTTTAATCTTTTCAACTCTAATACCATCAGAGAGCACAGAGCAGAGTTTACAAGCAGTAAAACTTAGGAAACTACATAAAAACTAATGCATAACTTACTTTGACTTTTTCTTTAAGGTCTGAGAAGTTGCCTTCCTTCCGATAGATTGCAAATTCAGGACTCTGCAACACAGCTTCCGAACGAGTAATCCAACTGTGAAGTTCAGTTATATCGACATCCAACCTAAGTCCGAAAAGAATAAAGGTCATTATTTCTTTTTATTTTAAGGTTTTATTGGGGAATTGGGGGAGGGGAACAGTGTTGGGGAAGGGGAACAGACAAGTTGCTGTCCTTTTGTTCTTCATTCTAGTTGTGGAGGACGTCGCTTCACTGGCCCATGTTGGTATTATCATTGCGCTCTTCCCGGGTGAGGCAGATCGCTCGCCGCCCTCTGGACAGCCGCTCATGGCGGCTCATGGGAGCTTATGGTAGCCCACTGCAGCCCCACTGCAGCCTACGCCATCACTGGGGACTCATGACAACCCAGCTCCAGGTCAAGCTGTTGTTCACCATCTTAGATGTAGATGGTGCAGCATCACTGGCCCTCATGTGGGATCCGAACCTGGGCCCTGCTGCTCAGAGCTGGTGTCCCAAGCCAACTCTTAACCAATGCGCCACTCAGCTAGCCCGGGTCATTATTTCTTGATTATCCTTCTCCTCTATATGAAAAAAGGCAATCTATCCACATTTATCATTCTCCACCTAATCTGAGACTCCTGCCTGATGCTTCCCTTACTCTTAATAGCATGACTATCTCCATAGTCAGGTAGGCTCAAAATTTGCAATCAGCTTTGATCTAGTCTTCTCATAATGGAGGCCATTTTATTCATTTCACTGTAGCAATCACCTCTATTGAATCCCCTATAAGCTATTACTCAGCCTCTGCTTGAAAGTTTGCACTGGTAGAAAACTTAGTACCTCCTGAGATAACTTTCTTCTTTTGGAAAAGTATTTCCAGCAAACAAGGCATTCCTTTTGGTGGCAACCACTGAACCATACCTCTGATATTCACATTCTTATATAGCAGGAGTTTCTTAAGTGCTTGCACCTTGGATCTTGTCCTCTTAGAGCACACACTCTGAGAATGCAACAGTTAAATAAAAATTCTGGGTGACTGGTTAGCTCAGTTGGTTAGGGCGTCATGCTGATAACACCAAGGTTGCCGATTTGATCCCCGCATGGGCCACTGTCAACTGTGCCCTCCCTAAAAGAGTCAACTATGCCATTGTAGCATGAAAGCAGTGTGTAACCAATGACCACGGCTGTTCCCCAATAAAAATTTAAAAAAAAAGAAAAGAAATGGTCAAACTAGTTTTCAAAGAGGGTGTAACATTAAAAAAATAAATTATATATATATATATTTTTTTAATTAATTAATTTATTTTTTTTCCAACAACCCTTTAAGAAGCTCAATCTAGCCAGGTGGCGAGACCACATGAAAGAGCATGAGGCACCAGCCATGTAAATGAAGTCTTCTTTGACCTTCTGACTCATCTCAAACACTAGCTGAATACAACCAAATGAGTGCTCCAGCGAATACCCCTTAGAGCCACAGAACTGCCCCCCAAGAGTCCTGCCCACACTGCAGAATTGTGAAAAATGATAAATAACTGTTGTTTTAACCCACTAAATTTCAGGGTGTGTTGTTATGCTGCAATAGGTATCTGATCATCTACCCTGTTATTCTCAAACATCTTTTTTTGCAGAGATCTATGGAGCTAATGGGAAAAATTCACTCTGATCATGTGATTCAGGTCTAGTTAAAGCAGAAGTTTTGGGGGAGTCATGGAAGGATTGCAAGAGTGGAGGAGATTCCAGGCACAATTCTGACTGTGTGTGCATTTTTCTTGAGAAAGAACCCCTACATTTCATCAGCATCTATCTGTAAAGAATCTATGAAAAGGAAACTTAAAGAGCATCTAATCCAATCATTTATTAAACAAAACAAACAGGCAAACAAGTGAAACTGTCCAGAAAAATAAATGACTTCTCAATTTTCATAGGAAATTTGTGAATTAGAACAAAAATACTAATACAAGATTTAAGACACCAAGTAGTGTACCTTAATCACCATGTTATTTCTTCTTTTCCACTACAATCCTCAAATAGTTCAAATTGGCTCTTTAAATCAATTAGAAGGTATCTGATACTGAGCCTACCCTACTCCCAGTTCCTGCAATGGATAGTCCATGGTTTGACAATATCTTATTTTCTTTAAAATTTGGCTGGTAAACGGATATTAGTATTTATTATAATCAGGGAAGAGGAGACAATTATCTTCTTCATTTCCAGTACTTCCATTGATGCAACCTATGAGGTAAATCAATGTTTTGACTTCCAAATTGCACTTTCAAATCACACTGAAGTTAAAGAGAGTTAAAACTTCTAGGAATTTTTCACATAAATTATCTTTAAGCCAGTTATCCACATCACAAACTGATGAACTGATTTCCTAAACTCAAATTTCAGGGCTTTAAATCATATAAACCTATTAAAAATTGCCATGTTAGGTGCATGCTATTGGTTTAAAATTAAACAGATATAGAGTTTTACAGAACACGAAACACTTCCAATAAAGTACTCTTTTTTTGTATCCTTACAGAAGCATGTGGCAAAAATCTCTCTGCTCATATAAGGAGATTGAGGCACAGATAAATTAATTGATCTCAGATTATTGGAACTGTGGGGAAGGACCTTAATTCATCTTGTTCACCATTACATCCTTCACCTCAAAGAGGATTTGGTTCATAGTAATAAATATTTACTGAGCAAAGGCTACCCAACTAAAAACTCAAGGAACAAATATCTGATTTCAGAGATTTTTTGGCCCCAAATAGATGTCAATGGATGTCAATACTTTCATTTGCATATGGAGTATAAATACCAGGGATGCCAATAAATGTATACGCATTTTAAGAGGTGTTTTCTTAAAATGTGTATATATATTTTTTGTCACCCTCTGTATTTAGGCATTTTTATTTTATCATACATGGCAACTGCTCTCTTTCCTACATTTTGCTTTCCCATGAGTTTAATGATTGGGCTTCCTATTTCTTCATTCATAATATTGACTTTAAAATACAGGCATATTTCAGATATTGTGGGCCCGGTTCCAGACAACTGTAATAAAGCAAGTATCGCAATAAAGGAGTTATAATCCTTTTGCTGGTGGAGGGTCTTGCCTTCAATTTGTAAAAAACACATCTGTGAAACACAATAAAATGAAGTGCAATAAAATGAAGGATGCCTGTAGAGTCCTGTTGCATACTTGCAAAAATGCCTCTTTCCATTTCTGTCATTTATGTTAACTCACTAAATCAAGCCTTTGATTATGGTCATTTAACCACCTATGAAATCCAACACACTTTTTTTCCATCACAGTGTTTTGAGAAAGGCCTTTTTTGTTTTCTTTTGGTACAATATAAAAATCCTTAGCACTATAACGCTAAGCAAAATAAGTCAGACAGAAAAAGTAGAGAACCATATTCCACTGATATGTGATATATAAAACTGAAAACAAAATAACAAGAAAAACAAATGAAGAAACAGAACTCTCAGACACAAACAATAGTTTAGTGGTTACCAGAGGGTAAGGGGGAAGGGGGTGGTAGAAGAGGGTAAAGGGGATCAAATATATGGTGATGGAAGGAGAACTGACTCTGGGTGGTGAATATACAATGTGATATATAGATGATGTATTACAGAATTGTACAACTGAAATCTATATAATTTTACTAACAATTGTCACTCCAATAGACTTTAATTAAAAAAAAAATCCTTGTGCCTCTGCCCATGGGCATTCACTTGCAGTGCATGGGGCGAGCCAGGAGTGCCAAGATGTGTACTCAATACCTCAGGAGGAACCCTTAATGAGTGGGAGCTGGGAGTTGGTGGATAAATATCCCACCTCCACTGCTGTTCAGGGTGCAGCCATGGTGAAGGATGGTACACACAATGTCTCACAGGGTTCCCAGGAGAACTGAGCCCCCGTTGCCTCCAGCAATAACCTGCTCACGTATCATCTTGTATTGCCTGCCTTCTTTTCCTAACCCCATTTCCCCACTTTGCTTCCCCAATAAACTGCTTGCACCTATGTCTTTGTCTCCAGATACACTCTTGGGGGAACCCACATTAAGGTAATGATCAATGGTTTCAAATAAACCCAGCATCCTGCCACATTTAGTTTTTGCAACTTGAACTCTGACTCTCCACAGAAACTATTTTAAGCTTTTTCCACAACTCTCAAAGCTCTGGCCCATCCTCCTTCTCCAGCTATCGACAGATGACACTGTCTTTTAATTTATAAAAAAAAAAAAGAAAAAAAGTACAATTATCAGACTAGAATTTCTTCCACATCCTATGTCCAAATATCCAACCCACCTGCAAAGGGCCCTTCTCTTACATCTCAGTGAGTTTTCTTTCTTTAACTGAAAGTCAATGTCTCTACCTGCCATTTATACTTTATTCTCTTCTTTTCAGGCATCTATAAATTTTTTTGTTATCTTTCTACTGTAAATTCAATCCCTCCCTCTCAACTTAATCCTTCATATGTTAATTTGAGCATATTTTATTTACTCCTTTTTTTGTTCTGTTTTGTTTGTTCATTTATTTTATTCTTTAGATTCCCCAAATATGAGTGAGATCATACGGTATTTGTCTCAGTCTGACTTATTTCACTTAGCATAATGCCCTCTAGATCCAGCCATGTTGTCACAAATGGTAAGATTTCATTCTCTTTTTATGGCCAAGTACTATTCCATTATATAAATGCACCACAATTTCTTTATCCAATCATCTATCGATGGGCATTTCGGTTGTTTCCAAGTCTTGGCTGTTTTGAATAGCGCTGCAATACACATAGGGGTGCATATATTTTTTAGAATAAGTGTTGTGGATCTCTTTGGATAAATACCCAGAAGTGGGATTATTGAGTCATAAGGTAGTTCCATTTCCAGTTTTTTGAGATACCTCCATACTGTTTTCCATAGTGGCTGCACCAATTTACATTCCCACCAACAGTGCACCAGGGTTCCCTTTTGTCCACATCCTCACCAGCACTTGTTTGTTAATTTATTGATGATAGCCATTCTGACAGGTGTGAGATGTTATCTCATTGTGCTTTTTATTTGCATTTCTCTGATGATTTGTGATATTGAGTATCTTTTCATATGTCTATTGGCCAT